GACAAAGGCGTCTGAAGTCGACTTTGAAACGGCCTTCCCATTTTCTTTCTTTTTCAGCTTTGGACAATCCTTTTTCCAGTGCCCAGTTTCATGACAAAAGGCACATTCATCCTTCGCAAGTCTGCCTTTTGAGCGAGATCTACCCTTCTTCTTCTTTCCAGGCTTATGAGTCTGTTCACGACCTCGAGCAGCATAGGCCTCCCCTGCTGAAGTTGAACTGTTTTCCTTCTGATCCTTTTTCCGGATCTCCCGATTGTACAAAGCTGCACATACTTCATCGAAACGGATTTGCTCCTTTCCATGAAGTATCATAGTGATAAGGTTCTCGTATTCTTCGGGTAGAGAGTTCAAGAGGAGAAGAGCCTTATCCTCATCCTTGACCATTTCATCAAGGTTTTCCAACTCCGTTACCAGCTTGTTGAATTCTGATATGTGGTTGTACATCGTAGTGCCTGATTGGTACTGCAGGCGGAATAACTTCTTCTTCAAGTACAACCGGTTCTGGCAACTCTTCGTCAGGAACTGCTTCTCCAACTCTCTCCAAAGTTTGCTTGCAGATGTCTCCTTCATATAAGGGAGTTTTAGCTCCCTTGTTAAACACGAACGGATTACTACGCAAGCATTGCGATTCATCCATACCCACTCGGTATCCTCCAGGTGTGTCGGCTTTTGCGGATCAAGAGCAACGAGAAGCTCTTGCTGATAAAGCGCATCCATCATCTCGCCTTGCCACAAGCTGAAATTATTGGTCCCGTTGAACTTCTCCACCTCGATCTTCGCATTCGTCACCACCGTCCTTCCCGATGACGCCGAGGATCGGACGATCGACGACGATGATGAGCCAACTGGTGGAGTTGCAACTACCGCCGGTGTTTCGGTGGTCTCCTGGGCCATAACTCCAAATCACAATTTTTTTTTTTTTATTTTTTTCAAATCGACCCGTGCCTTGGTAAAAGGTACCGCGGCTCTGATACCAATTGTTGTGCGGAAGCGTACCGGGTCTCAAATGTGAGACGATGGAATCGAACGAGAGAAAGTAAAAGACACCTGGATTTAACGTGGTTCGGCAGAATGCCTACGTCCACGGCGAGGAAGAACACAAACTTCACTATATCGGTGAACAAATGTGGAATACAACACACACTCAACCTCACTTCCCAATTTTCTAAGAACACCCTTTCTCTCGTAACACTCAGAAGAAGAAAATATTCAAACCGTATCCAAGAACCTCACCGAAACAAATTTCTTGGATACTAAGAAAGAAAACCCAAAACCCTCGAAAAGACCCAAATATTGGGTTTCTTGCTGAAGAAGAAAACTTCTTCTTCCACACTCCTTCTCTTCTGAATGTTTTTGTTAGTGATTTGTGATACTTGAGAACATAACTTGCATGGCTATTTATAGGAGAAGTCACAGACGGATTTGTGGCGGAAGAAAAAACCCACCAAACCATTCACGTTGAATGGTGTTTGATTTTTTCAAATAAAAAATCAACCAATTGCCTTTGTCTGCCATCATCACCAATTTCCTTTGTTTGCCATCAACACCATAATTGAAGCCACCATTCACAGATACATACGAAATATGACATAAAATATATAATTACAAAATTAAAAAAAAAATTTGTTCATGAGATCCCCACACACGGAGCAGATACATCATTATTATTTTATTTTTCTTCATTGCATGGAAAAGATTACAACACGTACTAGCTCGACTCGATCGAGTTATTCCCTCTTCACGACAAAGCGCAGAAGATCAATTAGAAACCCTAACTGACATTTCTTAAAAAAGACAACGTCGGATGCATGCATGAGTTAGAACTCGAGCATGTTCATGCCTTTAGGGTAGACACTGAGTTCACGTACGGTCATGGGACCGACGATGTCTTTGTTGCCGCTGTTGAAGAGGTGGGCGATCTCTTCGTTAGCCTTCTGAGTGTTGTGTTGGCCGTCGAAGAAGAGGTATTCTCTCGGGTACCCGCACAAGTTCGAGTGAACGTTGATGTATCCGCACCCGAAAGCGTTGTTCGATCCGATTCCACAGCATGATCTTATCGTGTTTGAAAACCCTAATCCAAAACAAATCTCACGTCAAGTAATTCACGCGGAGTGAAGAGAAAGACGGATATATAGACGAATATACATATATATATATATATGTGTCAATATTTGTTTTTTTTTGGTTAATCATTATTTGTTCATTTTCCTTGTGCTTGTAGTTAACTTATGGGACTCAAACTCGTGTGTATGTGTATATATATTTCATAGCAAGAGTTTTGATCATGTTTGAAAACCCTAATCCACATTTTCTCTCTAGTTTTACTTTTAAAGATACATACATACATACATACATACATACATACATACATACATACATACATACATACATACATACATACATACATACATACATACATACATACATACATACATACATACATACATACATACATACATAGAAACTCGTTTAATGGTAAATACAAGTAATTATTCCGCAATTTTTGTGAATAGAAGAGATAGAGTAAGACCCACTCACTATAGCTATTGAACATTTGCGTGGGTCCGTGAACGAGCCGGCGGGAGATTGCACCGTAGAAATCGAAAACGGTGTATTGAAAGCCGGTGTAATTAAGCGCTAAAGCCTTCAACATCGGCCTGATCTTCTCGTTGTGCTGTTTCGCTATTTCGTTCAGCGGTTCATAGCAATCGTCTCCCTGCAATTGGCGTTCTTGTTTCACGATCGGGAAGCAACCGAGAGGGCCCAACGTCTGGTACGCGAATTTCCTCGCTCCTAACGTGTACAACCTCTGCGCATACGTACGTACGCTCCCGATCGACACCGTATATATCAGAGAAAATACATACCGTGTATATATATATATATCAGACATGCATGTAACTTACAATGAGTTGGGTCTTGATAGTGTTAGCGACCAAGGTGACAAAGCCTTGCTGCGCGGAGGCGTTTGGGTTGGGATTGTTCTTGCTGAAGTTCATGTAATCGTTTGTGCCGATCTGGAAAAAGAAAATGGCTTCCTCGATAAAATCCTTTGTCCATTTCGATCTTTGCTTTTCGAACAGCTCCACTTGTTGAGACAACGTCAACTGTACGCATGCATTTTCACACATGCTAAACACGTCACGTGAAATAAACTTTTACATGCAGTATCATGTCAAAACATTAACATTAATTTACATATAATCTTAATTATCTTTTTAAAAAAAGGGCTCACGGTCTCGGGTGGGGTTCCAAGAACCGTGGCGTCACCGACGGCGAAGCCAGCGCCGCTGGAGACGTCGGCGTCGGGTTGAAGCGCCGGGGGAATGGGGATTGGGTGGTTGAGAAATGTTGCTACATTAGTTTGGTATAACATTATGATTAGAGACCGAATAATTATAATACTAATTAAACCAAAGCGGATATATATATATTCAGATAAAAATGGTTATAGAGAGACCTAGGAAATCAGGGACGATATGGCCATCGGAGTAACGACCGTTGGGACGGTCCGTGGATTTGCCGTACGGCCAAGTAGTGCTTGGAACAAACTGAGTGGACACGTACTTCTTGTTCCCGACATCGTAGTATGAGTCTCCGAACGGAAACAGAGCCGACTTTTGTCGGACACCGGCGACGTCACCGGCGAGCGACAAGGACAGTATTACCCCCAAAACACTCAACAAATTACCAGTCGTTGCCATTATTGGAAATTTGGGTGTAGTGATTTATAATGTGTGCATTTCGCACCGTCGATTTTTATAGGCATGTGATCTGATTTGGGGTCACGTCTCACAATCTGCATGTAAATTCTCTTCTCTTTTTTTTTTTTTTCTATATTCATAATTCCAAATATTAATTTGCGAGACTTATTATTATTATTATTAGATATATATATATATATATACACACATGATGTAATCATTCGTTATGCATGGTTTAATTAAGCAATTCAAAAAATAGTTATTGTAAATTATAAATACGTCATATATTATATATATATATATATATATATATATATATATATGAATCCCACGAAAGAGATATATATTATTAAGAAGCAATTAATTAACTTCTAAGTGTAAATGGTATTTAAAAATGTTAGATATTTCAATCATATTTTTCTTTCTACAAATTGCTTGTTCTTTATTTCTTCATTGTTTTCTTTTCTGCAAATAAGTTTTTATTTTCATCTTTATACTTTTTTCCGAATTGGTTAAAATTCATTTTTTTCCGAAACAAATTTATTGTATTGTTTCTTTCCTATTACTTATTATTTAATCACATTTTCCCTTTATTTACCTTGTGACCGTTTTATGTTTTATATATTGTGTATATGTTTTAAAAAAGATACGTGTCCTACCGGACATACAACTTGTCATAACTACAACATATGCTATTTAAGTTTTTTATAATTAAATAAGATTATTAAAAGTTATTAATATAATTGTTTTCGTCGCAACTATGAATTTAATCTGATAGATTATAAAAATCAAGAAATGTGTTGTGTTGAAACGTCTATAGTGTTACTGCATAGTTTGGCACCATACGTACTTTTGTCCTCTTTTATATATATATATATATATATATATATATTAAATATAATAAGCCATCGACCTGCAGGCATGGCTGGCGCTTGGCAATTTTAACATCGAGACTTGCGAAACACCGTGCCAATAGGCTCTAATCGTGGTCACATTCACCGACACATACACAGATATACATACATACACAACGTATATATGCACAGTGGCGGACTTAGACAAATCTATACGAGCGTCGATAAATTTACACATAATTTTATTGAGGCATTTGATGATTTTATTCATGATTTTGTTAAATTTATGTAGAAATTAATATTTTTTTTACTCAGCTCAAATGGGGCATGTGACCCCCACCCCATCCGATATAAGATTCGTCACTGTATATGCATATATACACGCTAACAACACACGGTTTTGCAAACCAAATATCAAATCCCAAAAGTCAAAATATCCAAAATACTATCCTTTTGCTAAAATTATTTCTGCACATACATTTCTCAACTTGTGACTTTGTGACTAGAATAATTGTATGATCATATGATGATCACATTGATCACAATATTAAATTTTTGTTATACGTAAGGTGGTCACATTGGTGACAATGTTAAATTTTTGATGATTTTACCAAATGTTTAGTGTGATACGTAAGGTGTGATTATGGTGACTTGGTGTAATTACCAAAAATTTAACGTTATGACCAATGTGACCATCATACGATCATACAATTATTTTGGTCACAAGTTGAGAAGGGTATGTAAGAAGTAGTTTTAGCAAAAGAAGTTATTTTGGATAATGGCCCTATCAAATGCGAAACAACGTGTTGAAAATATTTTGCGTCAAACGAAATCTCGAATAACGTTTTGATTGTGTAGAAATCCAGTTTTTTTTTTTTTTGGTTTTAGTCTAGAAATCCAGTTCATCGATTACAGTTATAAAACCCGAAGAACAGAGTAATTAATTATCTGGATTTTCTTTTCAAGATTGATTATTACAAGCAATTCACAGATACATTGCATCCCTGCTAAACAATATTCAATATATCTTTAAAATTCCAAACCCTAAAACTGCAATCTTATATTAATAAAGAAATGCTGCGAACAAAAAACTAAAACAACGGTTAACAAAAAAAAAAAAAACTAAAACAACGAATACACAAAAGTAAGGGTAATATAAAAAAAATTATTGAACCAAATTATTTGTTTAAAAAAAGGAAAAGGGGCCCAGATATTAAAGATTAAAAATTATTAACTAAATGAATTAATTAAGATTGATACTCCGCACGATATAATTAAAAAATATCACCGTCTCGGGCATAGCGAAAAAGGGGGTCACCGTTGAAATTTTCTGAAGCTCGTTCACATTCTCAAATAATTGCTACATATACATACACCCATACATATATATACACATAAACACGACATATAATAATATTAAGGGAAAATGACATTTTCCTACACGAATTTATCAAAATGTGACATTTTCCTACACGAATTTTTAATTTGACAAATGTCTACACTAAATTAACAAATTTTCCAAATACCTACACGAATTATCCAATTTTAGTGCAATTAACTACACAATCCGAAATTATCAATTAATTGCTGACGTGGCATGCCACGTGGCGGCTCACGTGGCATGCCACATGGGATTTTTGCCATGTCAGCGCGAATTAAAAAAAATAAAAATAAAAAATATAAATATATTTGTATGTATGCATATATATATATATTTTTAAATTTTATAAAAAAATTAAATTTATATACATACAAATATATAAATATATATCTGTATATTCATATATATATATATATATATACAAATACAAATATAAACATATATATATATACAAATATATATACATATACATATACATACATACAAATATATTTACATATGTGTATGTGTTCCCACGTGGCATGCCACGTGAGCCGCCACGTGGTCTTCCACGTCAGCAATTAATTGATAATTTCGGATTGTGTAGTTAATTGCACTAAAATTGGATAATTCGTGTAGGTATTTGGAAAATTTGTTAATTGAGTGTAGACATTTGTCAAATTAAAAATTTGTGTAGGAAAATGTCACATTTTGATAAATTCGTGTAGGAAAATGTCATTTTCCCTAATATTAATTACAGTAATTCTAATAGTTACTGTGATGGGGGAAGTCGTTAATTATGGACAAGACAGGAAAATGGAAGAGAAAATGTTTGATCAATCATCGGACAAATATAAACCAATGATCCAATGATCCGACAAAGAAAATGATTCACCCTAAACCCTAAACCAATGATCCGGACAAAGTACATTACAAACTCAAAAAATTGCGTTCAATGACCCTAGTGGAACACGTGTTCAAGAAAATTAAGAGGAATGTACCTACTCCTTGTTTATTACTTAGGGAATTTTTAGACATGGTTCCACAAAACTTGGAATTAGGAATAGATACGGATCAGATATCCGCATTTTGAAGATACCCGTCTTCGTTTTCGTTTTCCCAGATTTTAGAGAAATGCTATCTCTATCTTATAACAATCGGGTATCCGTATCACAGATACCCGGGACTAAAAGATGGATATCCGCAAATACTTGTATCCGTGTATAAAATATTAATCAACATAAAATCAAACCAAATAATCAACAAAAGTATACCCATTTTGGTCCAAAAACCCGTATAAAGTTATAAAATAATTTGAAGCTAAATTAACCAAATCTTGAAGATCCAGTATATAATCCTGGAATATAAAAAAAAATTATAATTTGTTAACAAATAAATATTGATCTCATTCTAAATACAAAACCATTCTTATTACCTCCCGGTTTAACGTCATCTCATTCAGATGAATAACCTTTTTCCAAAATTGAAGATGGATGATCTCTAAAATAAAACATGTAATTAGATAAAAGAAACATCCAACGTTGTTTCTATTGTGATTGACGAATAATCTTTTCGAAGCCAATCTTGCGTACAAACGAGGGCTTCAACAAGTTGCGGGATTAAAGAACTACGAAACGGATCTATCACACATCCACTCGTACTAAAAATAGATTCAGATGCAATGGTAGACACTAGTATAGCCAAAACATCATTCGCCATAGATGAAAAGAATGTCAAATGACAAATTATCTCCCATTTCACATGCATCCTCCAAGTATGATTCTAACTCATTCTTCTTTACTTGTTGTCCGGATTTTCTAAAACTCTGAAACATCATACGCTTATAAGCTTGTGACCCACTCTTAATACTCTCGCTTGAAGTCGCACTCGAGTCCCCGCTACTACTACATGATTACACATTCACCGATCGTAGAGATTCGTAATGTTTGAATAATTTCTCCAAAGCATTCATAATCAATGCAATAACCTCATTGCCCTGATCATCATCATCCTCATAAATCTCTTTGATAATCCAACTCACATAGGCCAACTTATACTGTTCAGATTCATATTATTCGAATGCCAATACTTGTCAAACTTTTTCTTCATCCTCTTAGCCATATATTTCTTAAAATGATCAGATTCATCACTTGCATAATTTGTTGGATACTCCACCCAACACCAAATATCTCCAGTATATATTCATTTTCCATGACATATCGAGAGACAGAAACCTTCAGGATAGCATCATAAAAACACTCAAGGATTGGTAACAAAGATTGCACATAAACCCACTCATCAGCATTTGGTGGACTTAATCCATTTTTCGAAAGATCTTCGACATACTTATCATCTTCAGACCCAAATATATCAAACCCTTGCCTAAGTCTTAAAGTCAATTGCAACATCAAATACGTTGAGTTCCATCTAGTTTCCACGCCTAAACAAAGTCATGCTTTAGTACATACTTTTTGAGCTTCTAAACATTCTTTGAACTTCTTCGCCATACTTGTCGAGGATCTCACATAACGAACAACCATTCGAATCCGGGAAATAGATTCATGCAACTCAAGGAGTCCATCTTTTACAACCAATCCTAAGATATGAACTCCACATGTGATATGCAAGAACTCTCCATCAAGAATGCTCGTTCCCCAAGTTTTAAACTTTCTCTACAAGTTTCTGATCCCCACATCATTTGAAGTTGTATTATCAACTGTCACAGTAAAAACTTTGTTGATTCCCCATTGAAGTAAACACTTCTCAGCCATCTTCCCTATCATTTCACCCGTATGATTAGTAATCGGACAAAAGTTTATAATTTTTTTTCTGTAACTTCCAATCCTCATCAATAAAATGAATCGCCAAACACATATAGTTTATATTTTGAACGGATGTCCAAGTATCTGGTAATTGTCTTACGTGATAAGATAATGAAACGAGTTTGTAGAACCCTGATAAAATATATGAACCCTTTTTTTTCAACAATCCTAAAAGGCAGCTCATCAATAATTATCATTATTACCAAAGCCCTTCGAGTTGCATCCTGATCAAACACGACAAAAGATGGAACCCCGCTTGTGAAGTTACTCTTCATCTGATGATGCAATGTTGTATGTTTTAACTTCTTGCAAGTTTCTTTAACACTATCTTCACGAGGCATTTTTTTAATGTCCTTAAGTGTTTCAACATTGAACTCGTAGATATACCCCTACCCCTTGAGTAATACAACCAATTGATGTACCACAATAATTGCAAATTGCTTTTTTGTTATCATGAGTTCTGATAAAATGATTCTAAACTTCAGATTTTATTTTAGGTACCTTAGTCCTGTCCTCAGTTTCAACTTGCTTAGAAGACTCTTCATTTTGATTAGAAGCATCTGGTTGAACCGGAATAGGGACAACAACATTTATTGCATCTCTGAGTATTGTTTATCTTGCGGAAAACAACAACAACAAAATAATACAATTATTTTATTTTTTTGTTAAACCAAAATACAGTTATTGAAACAGCAAAAAAAAAAAAAGAAAGAAGAAAAAACGACAATAGAGGAAGTCGAAAAAGAAGAATAATAAGAAACAACAGCTGCATAAGAACACAAAGAAGAAGCAAACTTAGAAAAAACTTGGAAGAAAAAACGCAGATGAAACATAACCATCAACAAAAGAAGAAATTGAAAAAGATGTAGAAACTAACGAAGAAGCAACACAAGAAAAAGAAAACGTAGAAAGAGATGATGAAGACATAACAACAATCAAACGATATCAAGCCATCAAGGAAAAAGACAGAACGAAACATCAAGGAAAAAGAAGATAAAGACGAAGAAGAAAAAGACGATGAAAAATAGAGGGAAACTAACCTCCATAATTGAAGAAGATCCAACAAATCAGTAAAGTCGAAACACCTGCGGGAAAGGGCTGAGAGAGAGGGGATGGTTTTCAACTTTACAATTTTAGGAAGAAGAACACAATGTCGGCAACGCAAAAGAAAAGTGAAAAGAGATATTTTGGAAATTACGCTAAAAATGTAAGGATACTTTTTTAATTTTAATACATATACGGATTCCTGAGGGTGCCCGTTCTTTTAATATCTAGAACCCGAACCCGTATAACGCCCGTTTTCCAGCTTTTAATACCGGTTTTGTTTTCATTGGATGTCGAGTACCTGTTTTTCGAGTACCCGTGACACCGGATACCCGCAAACCCGCGGGTAACGGGTTTAAATGCCCAACCCTACTTGGATTGAAAATTGTAATCTTCTCCCTGTTTGAGAAACAAAACCTCGATCCTTGGAATGTGAGATGTAAACAGAACCAATTGGAATGTGAGGAGTAAATTGTAAGTAGATCGCAGCTCTACTTACCTATTCTCAAATGTTTACCGGTCACAGCTCTCCCGTTTCTCCAGCACCATCTTCGCACATGCTCGCTCCTCCCCTGTAATCAGTAATATCAAAATTCACATACCATGATACAGAGACATACATAACCAAAGAAAGTAACCAAGAAAACTGCAACAATGTAAGTAATCGTTTTTAGTCTCTCTCTCATCACTCGATTTAAGCATTTCAACCGGTCAACAATGTCCAAGTGTATAAACTTTCTAAATGTAAATGCATATCAAGGAAAATAAAAGAACTTTGGACAAGCTTCATTAGTCACAGTTCCTGTTGAAGCATATTCGGTATCTAAAAGGTTCAAATCGACAAATGGAAGCTTGGAACAAACAGATAGAGAAAATAAAAAAAGGACCAGCTTAAGGAAAGGGATATTGAGCGTAAGAAAGAAAAAGACAAAATACATATTCGGAGCATATTGTGAAGAATCATGTATAGATATATATATATATACAGAAGAGCATGCATCAGAAGAGGTGAGGTTGTCTAGCAGATTGCTATTGCAGAGCATTGAGCGTGAGATTTGTGAGGGTAAATTGTAAAGGAAACACATGTGAGAGTTATCTGAGAGAACGAGAGGGAGCCTTTCAATAACAAGCGAACCGCTCACTAGATCTAGGCGTGGTCTAGAGTGACACGTGGTGTGCACTACATACAGTGTGTCTGGAACTAATAGACTTTCTTATGATACTAGGGGTTTCACTCAGTGGAGTGAAACTGGTGAGAGTTGAGTATTACTTAGAAAGTATTGAAGTGTACTTGACTCGTATCAAAATAATAGAATCAGTTTGAAAATTCTTGATTTGCAATATTGTGTGAGAGTGCTTTTTCAGTTCCATTTCTATAGCACCAACTTCGTCGATACTCGCTCATGCCCTGTAACCAATTATAGCAAATCACATAGAATGACACAGACATAACCAGCGCATGCAAACAAGAAAATAGCTAAAGAGAGAAGCAAACTTCCCTATATCGAGAGTATGCAAGAATAAAGTACAATTCTACGTGTACCACCACCAGTGCTATACTTGAGGTATCGTTAACTGTGGATGGTGGAAATCCGAGGAAGATGCTCAGACTTGTAGACCAGCCTGACAATGGGTGATCAAGTGAACCAATCATTACAAAGATTACTATAACAAATATATACAGAAGAAGACAAGTCCCAGAAACAATCAGAGATGTCTTCGCTAGAGACATACAATGAACAACTATAGACCTTTTCCTTTTCTATGTATCAAAAGCTGTTAAAAGCAATCTCAAGCAAGCTACTAAAATACAATGAACATCTATAGACGTTTTCCTGTTCTATGCATCAAAAGTTGTTAAAAGCAATCTCAAGTAAACTACTAAAACAACAATAACAACAACATGATAAGCCTTTCCGAAGAAGTTTAGGCGTATTAGGGTATTTCTATATTTTATAATATTGCATTCTATATTTTCTGTTCTATATTTTCTATTTTATGCTTCTAGGGTTTTGTTAGTCGTTTATTATAAATAAGAATAAGAGGGTACAGGGATAGATATCGGGGAATTGGTTAGTTTCTTGTTGGGGAGAGTTTGATGGCCTCTCAATAATCAAAACGTACCGAGTTGTTTGAGTAATAAAGCGTACCCTAACCGGAGAGTTCTATCACAACATCGCCTTAATCCTAAGTTTATTTAGGATCGGCCGCATGAATTCTTCTTTTCCATTCATTTCGGGTTTCCGTCATATCCTCTGATATGTGCAACATATCCAAGTCATTTCTAATAACTCGTTCCCAAGTAAGTCTAGACCTACCCCTTCCTCATTTCTTCACTACCATTCTTATACTCTCTAATTTTCTAACCGGCTTTCTAATTTTTTTACCGGACCGTCTGGTGGTCTACGTTAGCACACGAAGAAAAAGACTTTTTCCATTTGTTGAAATGAAGAAAAAAGGGCTGTTTCAACTCGGCATATCTGCAACAGAAAGGAGTAAGAGCTTAGGACAAAAATGTCACACCAGTTTCATTTCCTATTACTTGAGAGAGAAAAAAAGTACCAGGAGAGTGAACCATATAGGGAAGAATTGACATTGCAATCTTCTAGCGGATGGATGGGCACAACAGGAAATCTGTAACAAACATGAAAATGGTAAAAGATACTACCATATTACACACACAGAGTATTGTAATGGATGCTATCTGAAATTTGAAGTGTTACTATGAAAGAATGAAATCCATCGAATGTGCCAACAAAGACTCACCTATGATTCCCCCACCAGCAACTGAATCAATAGAATCATTGTGTCCACTTCACATGGAAGATCAGCATTCCCATACAAATAACCACTGTCTATACGTATAACTTTTGGAAACTGGCCACGCACAAAATAAAAGGAGACAGTATCAACATATATATATATGTGTGTGTGTTTACCCATCTAGTATGCTGACAACTAATGTTCTTGCAAGGTGAAAATGAGTAACAGATCTTTTGATGAGACCTTCGACATTGATATCTTAAAATCGACATATCTGCAGCAGAAAGAAGCAGCAGCTTAGAATAAAAAAAGATATCAACAGTTTCATTACCTATTACTTGGAAAAAAAAGCTTTAGGGGAGTGAACGATCGAGAAAAATTGACATTCCAATCTTCTGGTGGATGGATTTGCTCAACAGGGCAATCTTCGCCTGACAGTAATGCCTACTGGTGTAAATTTTCAGGAAAAAGATAAAACCACGTAAGACAGCTCCGGCTCGAACCTTCACGAGCCATAAATTATTTTTAGTCATCAATAACCTGTAATAACCATGTCGTCTGAACCTATTATACTATTACCCAAAAAATCAAGATTTTTCTAAACTCTTTTCCTAGATGTTTTTAAGCAATCAAATTCCAACAATGCATATATCAGCAAGGCGGTCCAAGGATACGCCACAATCACGATCCAATATATGCTATTACCCAAAAAAATACAAGACTCTTTAAACTTTTTTTCCTTGAAGTCCTTAAGCAATCAAATTCTGCCTTGCATGTGGGAATTAGAACATAAAACAGTTTCTTACGTGGATGTTGTAAATGAGAAGTAAAATCAGATGTTGCTCTTCGAAAATGTCTCTACCACCTGCCTGATTCAATAGACCATGTCCATGTACCCGAAGATTACCATTGGAACGTATAACAGATGACTCCTAAACTAAAGAAAGGGATACGGGAAAATACATTTCAACGGTAGAACAAAACAGTGGAGAACAATGATAACGAGAGATAGTGATCAGAATACCTTGAGAACCGAAGAGTGCCGTTTGAACATATACCGTACATGTCAGGTCACTTTTTCTTAACAACCAAGTAATACCAAATGAGTTAAGCAAACCTGATCGTAGAAATAACCGTAACCCGCAATATATTGGGATGCCAAAGAAACTCTATTTCCACTTCCCTCTGAAGTTGATTTTCAAAATGAGATTGTTGAAGTTGGCTCTTGAACAGAACTTTTGGAGCCACAGCGTGATTGCTACGTATCACAAAGTACATCTAGGTCAGCACGATAACGAAATCAAAGATATAACGAAACTTAGAAGGTATGAATCTTTAGGATTTCAACTATGAGAACTAAAGTGATGGATACTGTTTCAAAGGGAGAGAAAAATATAAACGAATAATACTGACTCGTTTCCTCTCGCTAGATAGACATGGCCAAATTTTCCTGATTCAAGAAGCTTCCAAATATCGAAATCACTCAGAGTCCGTCTCTTGTGCACATCTGCTGAAGCCTCTCTAAAGCTGCACGGGAAAGAAATCCATCAAATTTAATGCAACCAGCTTTCAGAAACAATCTTCTATATGATCTAATTGAAAGTAATGTAACCGTTTGAATCACATATCCAAAATGTGGCCATGTGACTTCCATCGCCTCCGAATATTAGAGCCAGGGGAAATCTCTTATAGATCGGAGGAGGAATATTTGTTCTCTTTTCATCACTGCCAAGGAAGAAACAAAGATAACCTAACATTAAATCTGGCGTAGTAGCAACCTGCATTTTAAACCAAAAATCATCGATGATTGTTACACGTTCCCCTATTTTCTTGTATTCTTCAAAGCAAAATGAAAGTGAACTCCATACCTGTTAGTTATTGTAAAATCTCTCCGTGAAATTCACTCACTTTGACTTTACACCGCTTAAAATGTGCAAGAAGACAATCTGCTCTGTGTTCTAATAGTACTTTTTGTATTCAGATAAAATAGAATTACACTTACGTATACATCATCTGCATTATCACTTATACCTTCAGAACTTACACCGCACCGCTTGATGCATTCTGCAAAGGACCATGTAAGACAGCTCCGGCTCCAAAACGAGTCAAAAAAGTTATTTATTAGCCAGTAATAACTTAATAACCATGTTGTCTAAACCTGTAATCACCGACCATGTTTTTAGGAGGAAGGCGGATTCCTGGGAAAAGGCTTTTTCCATTTGTTGGAATGAAGAATAGAGCATTTTTTCAGGCTAATTTCATCATTTCTTTGATGAAAAAGGGCCGTTTCAACTCGGTGTATCTGCAACAGAAAGAAGTAAGAGGTCAGGACAAAAATTCACATCAGTTTCATTACCATTTCTGCAGCACCAACTTCGTTGATACTCGCTCCTGCCCTTTAATAAATTAGAGCAAATCACATAGCATGACACAGAGAGATAACCCGAGAATGTAAACAAAAAATTGCAGCAATAGAACTTATCATTTTTATAGTCTTTCTCATCACCCGATAAAGTGTTTCAACCTATCAACGACATCCACGTGTGTGACGTCCACGTGTGTAAACTTTGTAAACCAAATGCATAACCTTACATAAATTATTCCCTTAACTTCGTCAATATGATGACAGTCATCTCCAGTAGGAATGTCTGACCAATGGAAATGAATCCTTCCATCGCTTCCTCCTCCACTGCCATTGAGACTACCACTTCCTCCGATGCTAGAGAAAAAAACAAACATCCCTATATCAAGAGTATGCAAGAATAAAGTGCAGTTCCACCTGTACCACCACCGGTGCTATACATGAACCGTTTACAAGTCTGAGCTCAGACTTCCACCATCCACTGTAACCGATACTCCAACTGACAAGCCTGTCATGCGTACAATGCGTACTCAAGTGAACCAATCACTACACAGATTACTACAAGAAATATATATAGAAAAGGCAAGTCCCATAATCAATCGGAGATGTCTTCGCTAGATACACATTATGTACATGCGTAGATGTTTTCGTTTTCTATGTATCACAAGATGTTAAAGCAATCTCAAGAAAGCTACTAAAATACGATAAAAAAAGGGCTTTTTCCATTTGTTGGAATGAAGAATAGAGCATTTTTTTACAGGCTAATTTCATTGTTTCTATGAAGAAAAAGGGCTGTTTCAACTCGGTGTATCTGCAACTCAAAGAAGTAAGAGCTTAGGACAAAAATTCACACCAGTTATATTAACAATTACTTAAAAAAAGCACCTGGAGAGTGAACGATAGGGAAGAATTGCGGATGGATTAGCTCAAGAGACTTTGCGTTGACGGTAAAATGTTGGTGTACATTCTAAAAAGAGAAAGAAAAATCAATTTCGACGGGTTCAGTCCAAAGAAAGAACAGAGAAAATATAAAGTTAGCATCACTTATACCTTCAGAACTTACACCACACCGCTTGATGCATTCTGCAAAGGACCACGTAAGACAGCTCCGGTTCCAAACTGCAGGAGTCATAAAGTTATTTATTAGCCAGAAATAACCCAATAACCATGTTGTGTAAACCTATAATCAGCGACCATTTTTCAGGACGAAAGGCGGATTACTGGGAAAGGGCTTTTTCCATTTGTTGGAATGAAGAATAGAGCATTTTTTTTACAGGCTAATTTCATCGTCTCTATGAAGAAAAAGGGCTGTTTCAACTCGGCGTATTTGCAACAGAAAGAAGTAAGAGCTCAGGACAAAAATTCACACCAGTTTCATTACCAGTTACTTAAAAAAAGTACCTGGAGAGTGAACGATAGGGAAGAATTGACATTGCAATCTTCTAGCGGATGGATTACCTCAACAGGGCAATCTTTGCGTTGACAGTAAAATGTTGGTGTACATTTTATAAAGAGAGAGAAAAATCAATTTCGACGTGCTCAGTCCAAAGAACTGAGAACATATAAAGTTAGGATCACGTATACCTTCTGAACTTACACCGCACCGCTTGATGCATTCTGAAAAGAACCACGTAAGACAGCTCCGGTTCCAAACTTCAGGAGTCATATCGTTATTTATTAGCCGGCAATAACCTAATAACCATGTTGTCTAAACCTGTAATCACCGACCATGATTTCAGGACGAAGGCGGATTCCTGGGAGAAAGTCATTTATACTAAAGACCACATCCTCCTCGAAGAGAGATTGCATTCTGAACTGCATTGAGAGCAATGCAAGAAAAAACATCAAGAAATCCATTTCCAATGAACTTCATCAATATAGATCCATCAATCTATATTGATGAAGTCAAATCTAATGTAGTCAAATCTTTGATAAGAAAATCTGAATTCAGAAAACTAGAAAGCAGATGTAAAAAACAAGTTCAACTTGTACCCAAAAAGACACGAGCATCTCTACCTCGCAACATAAGCCATAAAGTCATACATAACATGAAAGCTTTTTTCAATCTATTAACGATGTCCATGTGCATAAACTTTGTAAACGTAAATGTATGCAACAGGAAAAAAAGAACATTGTAAAACAAAACCTATAAAAATTCTTCCCTTTACTTTGCAATAGGATGATGCCCTATTGGAAATGAATCTTTACTCTGGTAGTAATGTCTGATCAGTGGAATACCTTGAGAACCAAGGGTTTGCAGATTTCAAGCACTGAAATACCTATACTCCTTCGCTCCAACTCCTTCTATACTTCAACCTGACCAGAAACAGAAGTTTAGTTTGCAGCATAAAAAATGTCGAAACAACAGCTTAACATTATGTTGCTATGTTAGCAGGAATTCCGCATATGTTACTGTGATTCAAGTTCCTAAGACAACGTAATGTCCAGAGTCAAATCTTTGATAAAGAAATCTGAATTCAGGAAACAAAGGTTTTACCCAAAAAAAAAACAAGAAACCAGATTGTAAAACAAGTTAAACTTGTACCCAAAAGGTCGACCTCGCAAAATAAACCATAGAGTCCACTAGGACAAGTGTTACCTGTCAGACTACAGCACCAGCTTCATTGATACTCGCTCCTTGTCTCTGATTCCATCATCCGGCTTCGCGAATCAAGATTCCATAACGAAGACAAATTTTCAGAATTTCATAACCCTAATTCTCGGTCTCATCCATACCTCATAGGAAAAAGACCCTAAACCCATATTCGCATGGATTTCTCGAAGCACCTCAGCTACACAACAAGAAAATCGAAAATGGAAACAAGATTTGACTCATCCCAAGAAGAAAAAGGGCTTAGGGTTCCGAAATTAAGAACCAGAAGAAGGTTGTTCCTTACCTTATCATGTTTTCGTGTCGTCTCAGTAAGAGCTCAGGACAAAAATGTCACACCAGTTTCATTTCCTATTACTTTGGAGGAAAAAAAAAGTACCAGGAGAGTGAACCATATAGGGAAGAAATGACATTGCAATCTTCTAGCGGATGGATGGGCACAACAGGAAATCTGTAACAAACATGAAAAATGGTAAAAGATACTACCATATTACACACACAGAGTATTGTAATGGATGCTATCTGAAATTTGAAGTGTTACTATGAAAGAATGAAATCCATCGAATGTGCCAAGAAAGACTCACCTATGATTCCCCCACCAGCAACTGAATCAATCGAATCATTGTGTCCACTTCACATGGAAGATCAGCATTCCCATACAAATAACCACTGTCTATACGTATAACTTTTGGAAACTGACCACGCACAAAATAAAAGGAGACAGTATCAACACATATATATATATGTGTGTGTGTGTGTGTGTGTTTACCCATCTAGTATGCTGACAACTAGTGTTCTTGCAAGGTGAAAATGAGTAACAGATATTGATGAGACCTTCGACATTGATATCTTAAACTCGGCATATCTGCAACAGAAAGAAGCAGCAGCAGCTTAGAATAAAAAAAGATATCAACAGTTTCATTACCTATTACTTGGAAAAAAAAGCATTGGGGGAGTGAACAATCGAGAAGAATTGACATTCCAATCTTCCGATGGATGGATTTGCTCAACAGGGCAATCTTCGCCTGACAGTAACGCCTACTGGTGTAAATTTTCAGGAAAAAGGTAAAACCACGTAAGACAGCTCCGGCTCGAACCTTCATGAGCCATAAGTTATTTTTTAGTCATCAATAACCTGTAATAACCATGTCGTCTGAACCTATTATACTATTACACAAAAAATCAAGATTTTTCTAAAATCTTTTCCTAGATGTTTTTAAGCAATCAAATTCCAACAATGCATATATCAGCAAGGCGGATTCCAAGGATACGCCACAATCACGATCCAATATATGCTATTACACAAAAAAATACAAGACTCTTTAAACTTTTTTCCTTGAAGTCCTTAAGCAATCAAATTCTGCCTTGCATGCGGAAATTAGAACATAAAACAGTTTCTTACGTGGATGTTGTAAATGAGAAGTAAAATCAGATGTTGCTCTTCGACAATGTCTCTACCACCTGCCTGATTCAATAGACCATGTCCATGTACCCGAAGATTGCCGTTAGAACGTATAACAGAAGACTCCTAAACTAAAGAAAGGGATACGGGAAAATACATTTCAACGGTAGAACAAAACAGTGGAGAACAATCATAACGAGAGATAGTGATCAGAACACCTTGAGAACCGAAGAGTGCCGTTTGAACATATACCGTAGATGTCAGGTCACCTTTTCTTAACAACCAAGTAATACCAAATGAGTTAAGCAAACCGGATCGTATAAATAACCGTACAACCGCAATATATTGGGATGCCAAAGATGATGAAACTGTATTTCCACTTCCCTCTGAAGTTGATTTTCAACATGAGATTGTTGAAGTTGACTCTTGAACAGAACTTTTGGAGCCACAACGTCATTGCGACGTATCATAAAGCACATCTAGGTCAGCACGGTAACGAAATCAAAGATATAACAAACCTTAGAAGGTATGAATCTTTAGGATTTCAACTATGAGAACTAAAGTGATGGATACTGTTTCAAAGGGAGAGAAAAATATAAACGAATAATACTGACTCGTTTTCTCTCTCGCTAGATAGACATGGCCGAATTTTCCTGATTCAAGAAGCTTCCAAATATCGAAATCACTTAAGAGTCCATCTCTTGTGCACATCTGCTGAAGCCTCTCTAAAGCTGCACTGGAAAAGAAGTCCATCAAATTTAATGCAACCAGCTTTCAGAAACAACCTTCTATATGATCTAATTGAAAGTAATGTAACCGCTTGAATCACATATCCAAAATGAAATGTGGCCATGTGACTTCCATCGCCTCCAAATATTAGAGCCAGGGGAAATCTCTTATAGATCCGAGGAGGAATATTTGTTCTCTTTTCATCACTGCCAAGGAAGAAACAAAGATAACCTAACATTAAATCTGGCGTAGTAGCAACCTGCATTTTAAACCAAAAATCATCGATTGTTACGTTCCCCTATTTTCTTGTATTCTTCAAAGCAAAAAGAAAGTGAAACACCATACCTGTTAGTTCTTCTAATTTCTGTCCGTGAAATTCACTCACTTTGACTTTACACCGCTTAAAATGTGCAAGAAGACAATCTGCTCTGTGTTCTAATAGTACTTTTTTGTATTCAGATAAAATAGCAATACACTTACGTATACATCATCTGCATATATCACTTATACCTTCAGAACTTACACCGCACCGCTTGATGCACTCTGCAAAGGACCATGTAAGACAGCTCCGGCTCCAAACGAGTCAAAAAGTTATTTATTAGCCAGTAATAACCTAATAACCATGTTGTCTAAACCTGTAATCACCGACCATGTTTTCAGGAGGTAGGCGGATTCCTGGGAAAAAGGCTTTTTCCCTTTGTTGGAATGAAGAATAGAGCATTTTTTTACAGGCTAATTTCATCATTTCTTTGATGAAAAAGGGCTGTTTCAACTCGGTGTATCTGCAACAGAAAGAAGTAAGAGGTTAGGATAAAAATTCACATCAGTTTCATTACCATTTCTGCAGCACCAACTTCGTTGATACTCGCTCCTGCCCTTTAATAAATTATAGCAAATCACATAGCATGACACAGAGAGATAACCCGAGAATGTAAACAAAAAATTGCAGCAATAGAACTTATCATTTTTATAGTCTTTCTCATCACCCGATAAAGTGTTTCAACCTATCAACGACATCCACGTGTGTAAACTTTGTAAACCAAATGCATAACACAGAAAAAAAAAAAGGAAAAGAAATTTCGCAGCACAAACCTTACATAAATTATTCCCTTAACTTCGTCAATATGATGACAGTCATCTCCAGTAGGAATGTCTGACCAATGGAAATGAATCCTTCCATCGCTTCCTCCTCCACTGCCATTGAGACTACCACTTCCTCCGATGCTAGAGAAAAGAGCAAACATCCCTATATCAAGAGTATGCAAGAATAAAGTGCAGTTCCACCTGTACCACCACCGGTGCTATACATGAACCGTTTACAAGTCTGAGCTCAGACTTCCACCATCCACTGTAACCGATACTCCAACTGACAAGCCTGTCATGCGTGCTCAAGTGAACCAATCACTACACAGATTACTACAAGAACTATATATAGAAAAGACAAGTCCCATAATCAATTGGAGATGTCTTCGCTAGATACACATTATGTACATGCGTAGATGTTTTCGTGTTCTATGTATCACAAGATGTTAAAGCAATCTCAAGAAAGCTACTAAAATACGATCAAAAAAGGGCTTTTTCCATTTGTTGGAATGAAGAATAGAGCATTTTTTTACAGGCTAATTTCATTGTTTCTATGAAGAAAAAGGGCTGTTTCAACTCGGTGTATCTGCAACAGAAAGAAGTAAGAGCTTAGGACAAAAATTCGCACCAGTTTCATTAACAATTACTTAAAAAAAGTACCTGGAGAGTGAACGATAGGGAAGAATTGCGGATGGATTAGCTCAACAGACTTTGCGTTGATGGTAAAATGTTGGTGTACATTCTAAAAAGAGAAAGAAAAATCAATTTCGACAGGCTCAGTCCAAAGAACAGAGAAAATATAAAGTTAGGATCACTTATACCTTCAGAACTTACACCACACCGCTTGATGCATTCTGCAAAGGACCACGTAAGACAGCTCCGGCTCCAAACTTCAGGAGTCATAAAGTTATTTATTAGCCAGCAATAACCCAATAACCATGTTGTGTAAACCTGTAATCAGCGACCATTTTTCAGGACGAAAGGCAGATTACTGGGAAAGGGCTTTTTCCATTTGTTGGAATGAAGAATAGAGCATTTTTTTACAGGCTAATTTCATCGTCTCTATGAAGAAAAAGGGCTGTTTCAACTCGGCGTATTTGCAACAGAAAGAAGTAAGAGCTCAGGACAAAAATTCACACCAGTTTCATTACCAGTTACTTAAAAAAAGTACCTGGAGAGTGAACGATAGGGAAGAATTGACATTGCAATCTTCTAGCGGATGGATTACCTCAACAGGGCAATCTTTGCGTTGACAGTAAAATGTTGGTGTACATTTTATAAAGAGAGAAAAATCAATTTCGATGTGCTCAGTCCAAAGAACTGAGAAAACATAAAGTTAGGATCACGTATACCTTCTGAACTTACACCGCACCGCTTGATGCATTCTGAAAAGAACCACGTAAGACAGCTCCGGTTCCAAACTTCAGGAGTCATATCGTTATTTATTAGCCGGCAATAATCTAATAACCATGTTGTCTAAACCTGTAATCACCGACCATGATTTCAGGACGAAGGCGGATTCCTGGGAGAAAGTCATTTATACTAAAGACCACATCCTCCTCGAAGAGAGATTGCATTCTGAACTGCATTGAGAGCAATGCAAGAAAAAACATCAAGAAATCCATTTCCAATGAACTTCATCAATATAGATCCATCAATCTATATTGATGAAGTCAAATCTAATGTAGTCAAATCTTTGATAAGAAAATCTGAATTCAGAAAACTAGAAAGCAGATGTAAAAAACAAGTTCAACTTGTACCCAAAAAGACACGAGCATCTCTACCTCGCAACATAAGCCATAAAGTCATACATAACATGAAAGCTTTTTTCAATCTATTAACGATGTCCATGTGCATAAACTTTGTAAACGTAAATGTATGCAACAGGAAAAAAAGAACATTGTAAAACAAAACCTATAAAAATTCTTCCCTTTACTTTGCAATAGGATGATGCCCTATTGGAAATGAATCTTTACTCTGGTTGTAATGTCTGATCAGTGGAATACCTTGAGAACCAAGGGTTTGCAGATTTCAAGTACTGAAATACCTACACTCCTTCGCTCCAACTCCTTCTATACTTCAACCTGACCAGAAACAGAAGGTTAGTTTGCAGCATAAAAAATGTCGAAACAACAGCTTAACATTATGTTGCTATGTTAACAGGAATTCCGCATATGTTACTGTGATTCAAGTTCCTAAGACAACGTAATGTCCAGAGTCAAATCTTTGATAAAGAAATCTGAATTCAGGAAACAAAGGTTTTACCCAAAAAAACAAAAACAAGAAACCAGATTGTAAAACAAGTTAAACTTGTACCCAAAAGGTCGATCTCGCAAAATAAACCATAGAGTCCACTAGGACAAGTGTTACCTGTCAGACTACAGCACCAGCTTCATTGATACTCGCTCCTTGTCTCTGATTCCATCATCCGGCTTCGCGAATCAAGATTCCATAACGAAGACAAATTTTCAGAATTTCATAACCCTAATTCTCGGTCTCGTCCATACCTCATAGGAAAAAGACCCTAAACCCACATTCGCATGGATTTCTCGAAACACCTCAGCTACACAACAAGAAAATCGAAAATGGAAACAAGATTTCACTCATCCCAAGAAGAAAAAGGGCAACGGAAACAAATTGGAAAAATAAAAAAAGAAAGAAAGATCACGCCCTAAATCGAAAGCTAATTGGAACAAGAAAGAGGAACTTCGGGTTCCGAAATTAAGAACCAGAAGAAGGTTGTTCCTTACATTATCGTGCTGTCGTGTCGGCTCCGTAGCGATCGCCATGGAAGAGACGCCGAGAGATCAAGGAAAAAACAAACAACAGAGAAAGAAGAAAATCATACCCTAAATAGAAACAAAAATGGAACCAAAACAAGAAACTTCGGGATTTCAAAATTGTGAACCTGAACCTTCTTCTTTAGCTTCTTCTGTTGTAGTGTCGTCTCCGCAGCGATCGCCATGGAAGAGACATGGAGAGAGAATACAGACAGGCGAAGCGAAGAGAAGAATGGGGGATAAAGAACAAGGAAAGAATTAAAAAGGCCAACAACGGTCATATTTACAGGGGCTGCCACGTGGATAACATTACGCGTGGAACTTCTGTTTCAACAAAAAAAAAACTTTTTCCGTCCTTACAGAACGAAGTCAACGAACTCAACGTGCCACGTGTCGCATTGTGTAGAGCTAACATGCACATTTAGCACAATAATATTACTATTTTTTTTTGTTAAAGACATTAATATTACTATTTGTATATATATATATATATATTTTTATAATCCGGAAGTAGAAAACAATATTCAATATATATCTTTACATTACAAATCCTAAAACTATAATCTTCTATTAATAATATTAATTACAGTTAATTCTAATAGTTAATGTGATGGGGAAGTAATTAATTAAGGACAAGACAGGAAAATGGAAGAGACAAATGTTTGATCCATCTCTCGACAAACCTACTTTTTTTTGTCGATGTTTTTTTGTGTACTTTCAACAAACTGTCAACCAAATAATCTAATATAATATTTTGTTTTAATTGAATTTGATTGGAAACGAATTATAATCTTTAATCAATTATATCTTTAAATAAAAGAAATCCACGTCATGCGCGGTAGGATTGACGAATAGCTCACGTTTTGCCACGTCATCAGCGCCAGCTGTCTCTAGTTCCTCTCTTCGTGGATCTTCGCCATGTGGCAGTGGTACACAGTTCACTCGCCCAGATCGTTGTTTATAGCCGTTGGATCTACAGTCCACGTAAATACACACGTGTATATATACATCTCTGTGTGTGTGTGAGAGCATATAATATATATACATACACGTATCTAATATTCGAATGTATGCGAGGAGAACGAAATATGGAATCTGTCGTGATGCATGTGATACTATTTTTCTCTTACGACAAGTCATACAAATTTATTTTTATATTTTTTTCTAAATGTTATATATATATATATACACACTAATTACAGCAACTCATGCTACATTCATATCCTCGTATTAATATTATAAAGTGAGATTAGGTGGATTGTGCAGCGAAGTCATTCGAAAAAATATGTGTGGTATACTTTTTTTTGTTATAAAAAAGGATGGAAATTCCATCATGGAATATGATCGAACTATATGCGTGCGTGTATATATATACATACATATATATCAATCTTTTAATATACCGTGTAATTTTCTAGTATCATGTAACAAAACTCAAAAAAAATTATTATGGCTGGATGAACCTCCGGAAGAAATGAAGAATCTGTTATCATCGGACGTCTAATGAGACCAAGAAGAATCTAAATGAGTTAAATCCCTCGTTGTAATAAAAACAAAACTCAAAAAGTCAAATTAATAATATTTTGAAGGGAACTCTTTAAATCAAAATCAATTTAATTATTTGTTTTTTCTCAAATAATTAAGTTATAATAACTCAAATAATTTTGGCGACTTAAGCAAGTTTCGAACAATGAAAATTAATTTGTATCAATTACAACACCACAATGAATGAATAATGCTTCTTTTTTTTTCATTACATTTAAATATGTAATGGAATATCAAAAGTACGTCTCCATCGAATTAATTTTAAAATTAAAAATGCAACTTTCTTACAAGTATGAAGTATACAATGACTAATACGCAAATGAATATACGACAGCGCAAAAAAAAAAAGGATAATCGTCGGACCACATATCTTGATAGAATCTGATGCCTTTCACTATTCGAACTTACATAATCAAGTTCGTCATTTGAGAAAACCCTAACATTCACACTTTCTTTAAAAAGCATCATGTAAGGGTATTCTTGTAATTTGGTATAAATTCATCTTTTTCACAATATAAGATTAATTAAAAGATTACTCATGCTTCAAAGAAAATATGGTTAAATTTTTTGGAATATATATACATTCTGGTTGGGTTATACAAATTCAGATTATATCGATAATATATAATTATATTTAAATAGATTATAATTAAAAAATTGACGTGATATATTTTTTAAAACTAATTTAATAAAAATTGATGTAATTATATTCAAAGAAAATTTTAAAGTTTCAAAATTTCTTTTACGGTAATAAAATTCGAAATAAATAAAAACGGATATAAAAATTCCAAATTTATGTATATATTCGATTTTTATATCATTCTAATTGTTTTGCTCCACGGAGAAAGGATAATAGATTGGATCATTCAGCTAGTTTTAAATTTTAATCCCATACATACATGTATTAACTTATTTTTATTTGAATAAATACCGTTATTACCTAGTTTTGTCTCTTTGAAACTATCTATAAAATTGCCTTTTCTCCTATAACAAATATATTTTAGTCACAAAACAATTAGTATAATTTTTAGTACTACTCAAAATAATATATATAGCAGAAAATGGGAAGTAAAATTCCGAACTGAAATTCTATAACAAAATGGAATATCAAGTTGAGGAAAGAACTAAGTATATTCTCCTTTTTTTTTAAAATTATAAGATTCCAATTGCCCAATTTATTCTATAAAAAGATTATTATTCCCTTCTCTATATGAGAATTTGTAGACCATCCAACAGTCCGACACGGAAATCATAAGCAAAAGTGGCATTTTATTATATTCTAATTAATTATGATTTTTTTATTGTAAATGCTGCCATATAATGAGATTTTATAAAATGTGGTAAATAAAACAGAAGAAGATATTTTTTTTTGTTTTGGTTATAATTTTGTTTTGAGTTGGAATGAAATCCTTTCAATTTAGTATATTCAAATTTTATATAAAACAATTTAGTGACAAAAATATTTTTATATATTATGTTCTAAAATATCCAAAAAAAATATCATTATTGACACATTTTTAACCTCCTTTGTTGATATACAAGTATAAAAAACTATAAGAATATTAGCAGTTTGATCTCAATAAATGATGGTATACAATTAAGTATACAAATAGGGATAAATGATACATCACAATCTATAATATGTTGTTTAAAAAATATAAAATTATAAATTTTAATGCAATTAGATGGATGGATTTGAAAAGAAAGAAAGCCATTCGAGATATAGATGACCATCTACAACTTATTTATTTAAACAAATAAAAAACAGTACATATCAAAATAAGCGAAAATTTTTTTAGGGAGAAATACTGACCCGTAATTTTTCGATATTAAAATTCACCAAATAATATTGGAAATAAAAAAAAAGGAAATAAATGAAACAAAGTATTAACAGGTCTTAGATTAAATATATATTCATGAAGTGAAAATAATTTTCAGCGTTTTAAATTAGGGAAAATTGGCATTCTGGGATATGCTGATCACGTTGGTCATTGACTAATTTAGTTTTAATTATTAACTTAATAAGATATATCTAATTGGCCATTTTGTATTTTCCATTAATTTCTTATGGTCTAAAGAGCAAAAAGTAATACAAATAAAATCCTAAATCATTGTATTTCTAACGTGGTCTGATTTTTAAAATTAAAATGAAATACGGTAGATGATAATTAGGTTTTCGTTTTTAATACGAGTCTAGTGTACTACGAATTACAATTATTTTTTTTTAAAAAATATTAGATAAAACGAAAAATAATAATATTTGTAGTATTTATATTAATTTTGCGGAATTTTTTTTATGATAAAACGAGAAGGGTCGATCTTATCAAGTAATTGTAATATTTAAAGATGAATCATTAATATCAACTCAAAATTTCAGGGAAAGAAAGGAGGGAATCTAGTTTTGGCGTAATTTGATTATAAGGAAATTAAAATACTCAGTTCCATATCAAAATTACAATAAGAATTTGAATAATTATGTACATTAAACAATATATGATTCTTATATATTGGACCATACAAATACAACACGCTATAAAAGTTACGCTTATAGTTAGCAACTCGCCCGAGTCAAACTCGCTTTTCGGGGCGAGTTTACGGCTCTGTTTCGGCCATATTTAACGAGCGCCTAGAGTTAAAAAAACAAAATTGCCCATTCCTGTTTTTTCTCGTCTCGCAATTTCTTTTGTGGTTCTTGTCACTGCAGCTCTCTCGTCATAATCATCATCTTCTTCGTTTTCTCTGCTAATCTGAAGCAATTTCGAAAATTTATGTGATTTTCCAGGAAAGTCTTTGGTTCGAAAACGATTCGAGGAAAGGGTGAATTCGGGTGTTTGTCTGGATTCTGGTCTTGTGTGTGTCTGGTTACAGTTGTAATTGTACCCATTTCTTTTTTCTCTGTGTATAGTTTTGTACGTGTGAAGATTTCAATTCTTGTGAGCTGTAAGGTTTCTGGGATTTCCTTCTGTGATCTAGTTGTTTCTTCTTCTTCTTCTTCTTCTTCTTCTTTGTCTTTTACGCTTGATCTTGTCTGGTTTCTGAATCGAAGGCCCGAGTTTTTGGAGCTCGGAGGTCAAAACGGTTTTTGATGGCGGCGTCAGAGAAATGGATCGGACAAGGAGCCGACACGAGTCCGTCGTATCTCCAGAAATTCAGGCTCTATGAAACTCGCTCGGTGATTCTCTCCTCTTGTCTATGGGATAGTTCATCACCTACGTTGATTTGCTTGTCTCTAGATGTCTTTTTATTTTTGAAATTCGAACTCGAGTTTTTGAATTTTCCCGTTTCCATGTATGGAGTTGTTGCGAGTGATGGATTAGAGATTCGAAGTGCGTGATACGTTTACAGGTTGTTCTTGCTGTTACGCGGTTGGGTAATGGCGGTGACTTTAGCTTGATGAGATGATTTATTTGATTCTGCTTCACCTGGGTTTATCTTCTGTGCTGTAAATTTAATGTCTATCGGCTATGAGATCTCTAGAAATTCCAAAGATTTGAGCTTTGATCTCGTTTGATTTTGTCCGTTATGCATCCACTTGTTACTGTTTTGGAATGTTGAACTCGTGGTCTTCCATCTGGAATGCTCCTGTCCGAGTAACGTGTTAGGCATTACTTATGTCGGATTCCTTTCTGCAGAACTTCTACATGATAGGAAGGGATAAGAACCGAACCTTTTGGAGGATCCTAAAGTTGGATAGGACAGAGCCCTCGGAGCTAAACATTCACGAAGATTCGACAACCTACAATGAAGCAGAATGCTTAGAACTCTTGAGAAGGATCCACGAGGGGAACAGGTCAACTGGTGGGCTGAGATTTATCACCGTTTGCTACGGGATAGTCGGTATGTCCCCTCCATTATCACGCCTCTTATTCGTAATAATACTTGCACCTTCTTCTTGTTTAGAACTGACATTCACATTGTGGAATCTCTCCATTTAGGATTCATAAGGTTCTTGGGACCATATTACATGCTGATTATAACAAAAAGAACGAAGCTTGGTGCAATTTGTGGGCACACCGTATATGCGGCAGTCAAGAGTGAGATGATAACAATTCCACATTCCTCTGTGCTATCCAATGTGGCTCATTCTAAGGATGAGAAAAGGTCTTACGTCACTTCTGCTTGTAAATGGAACTTGTACTTGGTATCCCTATCGACATATACGTTCAAATTATAATCCTTCACTTGTATTTAGACTCTAAGATTATTATGGTGTCTTGTTCTATAGTCCCTCGGTTTGCATAATAAGAGGTTCGGAGTTTCTCCAATAGACGAGTTTGGTATTGCAGAGATATCCATTGTGATATGAGCTTCCGTGACCAAATTCTTTCCAGGTTCTTTTGTTTTTGCTGTTTTTCTTTTGGAGATAATCCGGAAATTAGAATCCTTTCATTTTCTTATATATTTAGCCAGTTTGCATATTTGAGTTTCTTTCTATATATTCTTCTTCTCCTGCGTCTGTACAAGGAGGTACACCCGTTCTGCTATGTTTCCCGCTTAACATTTTGTGCGGCAAGGTATTATCGATAGGGGGGAAAATAATTTCAATTTCCGTCATTTTCATTTTAACGTTGTTTCATCTAATATGTTTAAATGTTGATTTTCTTTTCTTTTATTAAGGCATGCAGGATCTAAAGTGTTTTTCCATTTGCATGTTACATATTTCTCCCTCGGCATTTTACAGGTACAAGAAGCTACTCTGCTCAGTCGATCTCACGAAGGACTTCTTCTTCAGCTATTCCTATCACATCATGCATAACCTTCAGAGGAAACTGTGCAATAACGTTAAATTACGGGCTTACTATGATTCCATGTTTGTCTGGAATGAGTACTTAACCCGAGGGATTCGGAGTATCCTTAAGGATTGTTTGTGGACAGTTGCCTTGGTTTATGGATTCTTCAAGAAGGTATTTCATGTACTGAGTCTCTTATGTACTTCTTCATATAAAGGAAACGATAGCTTGAATTAACTTGTTAGATTTGATGTTCCAAAGTTGGTTGCTTTCGTATCTATAGTTGCTTGTATGAGTAAGTTTCCATGAATTTTCTGGCTTTGTTTTGGATTTTGAAGATGCGGAATTCAAGGAGAAGCTCTCTCAAAATTTAAGCTAACAGCGACCATAGCCATTGTATGAATGCTTTCTTGATGTTTTGTTCTCGTTCACGATTTTTGAACTTTTTATCTCTTGAATTTTGGAAATGTAGGTTAAACTCTCCATAGCTGAGAAGAGCTTTAAATTGACTCTCATTGCTCGTCGGTCACGCCATTATGCTGGCACGAGGTACTAACTCCATTCTTCTTCTAGTATTTCTCTCTCAGGCAGGTGTTGGGGGGGGGGCACATAACTATTTATCCTTTGAGTTTGTAGCCCATGACCTGTTTCTATATGGTGGAAATTTCTCTTTCACAGACATGCTCCCACTTCTGTGTTGAGTGCATGTAGAACAGATACCCATTTCTGGCTAACTTTAATTAACTTTTGAGTTTGTTACTGGATTCATAATCTTCTGTGTTGTGCCCCAGATATCTGAAACGTGGTGTGAATGAGAAAGGCAGGGTAGCTAATGATGTTGAGACAGAACAAATCATCTTTGAAGATGTTCCAGATGGTTGTCCTGTCCGGATAAGTTCCGTAGCTCAGAACCGGGGTTCGATTCCTTTGTTTTGGTCTCAGGAGACATCACGCTTGAATCTCAAACCTGATATAATATGTATGATATCTGTTCTCTGACCATTAAAGCTCTTGTCATTTGTCTTTTAAACTCGTTTGATAATTAATCGTATCTGTCTACAGTGTCCCAGAAAGACCCGAACTTTGAGGCGACTAGACTTCATTTCGAAAACCTCGCGAAAAGATATGGAAATCCAATCATTATATTGAACTTGATAAAGGTCAGTTTTTTTTAAACTCATCAACGATATGATCTTCTTATACACTTTAATGCTGAGATTCTGATATAATCTGCCTGCTAACTCTTAATATGTTGACTGATAACAGACGCGTGAAAAGAGGCCTCGTGAGACTATTCTGCGTGCAGAGTTTGCAAATGCCATTAGATTCATAAACAAAGGGTTGAGCAAGGAGGAACGTCTACGGCCTCTTCATTGGGATTTGCATAAACACTCGCGAAAGTAAAATGATGAACACCACTTCATATGCTACTTTCTTTTGTTAATTGTTGAAGAACAATGGCTCTTACTGAAAGTGGGTATACTCTTTTTTCAGCAAAGCTACAAACGTGTTGGGAATTCTTGGCAAGCTTACTGCTTACGCGATGAACTTGACTGGCATCTTCTACTGTCAGCTATCTTCTGATCTGAGAGCTGAAGGGATGCAGAATCCATCTGGCTTGGAGTAAGTATCCGATTCATGATCCTATCGGTTTTTCTGTAGTTTCATATAACCTTGGGAACCAGTGTTTCTGAGTAACTAGCAGAATAAATCCGGTTTAATACATAAATATAACTCCTTTTTGTCTGAGGACTACCACACAGTAAAGGATTATAAAGGGTGTGTATGGTTGCACCTCGTATGTTGTTCGTCTTTCTTGTATCCACAATATATAGGATCCTAAGTTTTTCTGATTGATTTTTTATAGTTCCTTCTTCGAAATGTAACGTTTACTTGCCTTCAAGTGAAAGTCAGCTGTAACAATCCTGCTGAATTGGCTTATAGTCCTTGTGTAGTACTACAAGTCTAATGCCTTCTCCTTCGCTCTAATTGATTGTAGGAAAAGTAATGGAGAATGTTCTACAAACGACCTTCCCGGAAAAGCTGAAACCGCCTCAAAGTTGGCAATGGAAAACGGTAACGATGATAGTGCCACCAAAGAGGACCACCAAGTGAAAACGACTATGTTTCAGAAAGGAGTCTTGAGGACAAATTGCATAGACTGTTTAGATCGCACCAACGTTGCTCAATATGCGTATGGGTTGGTAGCTCTCGGGCGTCAGCTTCATGCTCTAGGGTTTACGGAAACTACTGATATCGATCTAGAAAATCCCCTCGCCGAAGATTTGATGGGACTTTATGAGACAATGGGTGACACTCTCGCCCTTCAGTACGGAGGATCAGCAGCTCACAACAAGGTAATCGCTGTATGTACAGTTTACTTTGCTGCTTGCAGGTCGAAGATTATAGGTATTATTACCCGATCTCATTCCCTTTGCGTTTGACATTATGGACAGATATTTTGCGAGAGGAGAGGGCAATGGAAAGCCGCAACACAGTCCCAGGAATTCTTCAGAACTTTACAACGCTACTACAGTAATGCTTATATGGACGCTGAAAAGCAATACGCCATTAACATGTATGTTGACATAAGTGTCTTCTCTATACCTTCTCATACTGAACATCGAGATCAAGCACAAAGTTGTTGACTGATCTTGCTGCGATTTCTTGGCTTGTTGAATTCCTTCTGTAGGTTCTTGGGCTACTTACAGCCACAACCGGGAAAACCAGCATTATGGGAACTGGGTTCAGACCAGCATTACAATGTTGCAAGAATCGGTGCCAATGCCATTGCAGAGATTGTAAGGTACATTTTTTTTTTGGGTTTATGTGGACTCTAGAACATCTCTGGTCATTGAGAGACTGGAAATAAAAATAAAACGTACGATGCTTTTTTCCTGAATATCAGCTGAGAGAGGGGACTTTGATTTCCTTAGGTACTCGATGAAACGATCTTTATCAGAAGGTAATATTCTCTGTGAGAGCGATATATCTGCATTCGGGAAAGTAATTGGAAATGGTGAGTCCTTGCCCGAGAATGATCAAGAAACGAAAGGCCTTTCAGAGTCCACTCCCGATATCACGACGTGTGTAACCACGGAATCGGGCGAGGATGTGGCGGCATGTGTTCCAAGGTAGGCTCGTGATCACTGTGAAACCTTCTACCGGGAAATCTTTTCCATAGTGTCCCCTGACTCGGGCTTCCATGTTTCAGGCAGCCCTGCAAAGATGCGGAGCCGAATTACATTCTTGAAAACGATTGTTTCTGCTTTGATGGACACGGTGAGCAATGTGCATGCGCAGCTTTCGATATGGATTGGGTTTCCTCTTCGGGAAACTCGTGCGAAGACGAGAGCTATGGCAGGTAAAATTTTCTTTTTTTTTTGGAAAATACCAAAGCTTGTTCTCCAATGCAGCTTCTAGAAAACCGTCCCCATTTTTTTATCCCGCAGATCCATAGCACTTCGGTCTTCGGAGAACGTTCCAGAAGACATATATATAGAGTCGGCGACTTCTGCAAGCGAATCGGGTGCCAGCTCAAAGGTGAGGAGCAGCATTCTCTCCATTAAAACGCCTTGCAAAACCCAAAAAACACGGCGTTTTCAGTCGTAGAAACGCGTGATCTTGGAGATGGATCATACTTTCTTGCTCTTTTTCAAAGTTAAAAACATCGGCCTCGTCTTGTGTGGATCCAGGGAGGGGGAGCAAACGAGAGCAAGGGAGAAGCTTTGGGAGGGATTCACGAGCGATTCGTGAGGTGGGTATTGCACGGAGATGGCCATTTCTGGTGATTGGGAAGGGCTTCAAAGGACAACAGTGTCTGCAAAAAGTTTGATCAGATAGGGGTTTTGATCCGAGGTAAAGAGAGGAACTCACCCGAAGGGCGAGCTGTTCTTCTTCGGAAAGACAGAAAATCCGACATCGAGAGGGAGGAAGAGGAAAGAAGATTGGTAATTAAGTTTTCCAGACAGGAGAAGATAGAACAGACTTGTAAATACCCATTGTAACAGAAAAAGAACATCTTACATACATAAACTGCATCATCATCACACACACATCGAAACATAGGTTCCGAAGATCAAAACATTTTACATTTCAAGAGACTGAGACTTGGACGGTCTTCGGTTTCGGCGGCGGCGCCGCAACTGTCAAAACCCCGTCTTCGTATTTGGCGGTGACCGCGGCCGCGTTTGCGTCTTCGGGTAACCGGAATTTCCTCGAGAGGTTTTGAGGGTTTCTCCTCTCGAGCCGAATGTACTTGCACCCATGTTCGTTTTCTTCTCTCTTCCTCTTCCCGTTGCTCTTTATCACCAGCGTTCTCTCGTCCTTCACCGTCACCTGACACCAGTTCCAGACAGTTTCAGGTTTCGTTGCCTCTGAAACAAACACTGGTGGGAAAAAGCTTAACTTTCAGTGTCCTAAACCCTAATTCCTGGTTTCCTTGCGTCTCATACACGGAAACAAACACGCATGGAAAAAAGCTTAACTTCCACTGTCGCAAACCCTAAATCCTTGCCTCTGCTCACCGGCTCTTGCAGGGACAGTGCAAACCTAGGACTCCTGAGAAAGACACCTTCATAGCACACATTGCCAAGGAACTTAAGGGATGGATCTAAAACTATGAAAACACAACTTCTCAAGCAATTTCACATGTTCTGTACATTCATGTATAAGTTACTGACGCCATTGGAAACCACAAGCACAAACCTTGAAACCAAACCACTAAAGCATAAGATGAAATCCCAAGTCGTTAAGACACACACACATACATATATGCTTCAAACTGCGTGTATTCAGCTAGTGTATATGTACCTGGATGTCGGATTTGGTGATGCCGGGGATGTCGAGATAGAAAATGTACTCTTTGGAAGTTTCTAGAATATCGACAGGAAGAGCTCCTCTGCTATCGTTACCCTCGTTGGATCTTGAAGATGGGAACACCAATTTCTCAATCGTCTCAGGCAATCCAAACAGGTGGGCCATCGTCGCAGTGCTCATTCTCAAGTCTTCTCGCAACCCAAACAATTCCGAGCTTCAGGACCGAAAACACAGATTGTCAGTGCAAAGTGAGAAAACACATGTTCTCTTTCCCGGAAAAATTTGTGATTCTTGGATCAAATCGATGAAGAAAACGAGGACCACCATCACTGTCGGATTCCAAACGAGAGAACAGAAAACTACGTAAAAGTAGTTCTCTCTCGGTGACCCAAATAAGCTCCATTGACATGAAATGAAACTAAACTAATTTCATCACTGATTGTTTCCCGAGAAAAAAAAGGGCGGGACGCAGAGAAAACTAAATATGAATCCAATCGCGAGGAAACCCACCTGCGAACTAAGCTTCTAGCTGCCGACGATTTCGCGAGCAAAGCAAAATTAAAGAACCACAGTCCAGAGAAATCGAATCATCAATTCCGAGAAAGTTGCTCTTTAGATCTTCGCAGGGACTATTTGGATGCCAGGAAAATGTTAAAGCTACTTATAGAACACCGTAACATGTCGCAGGAAAGTTCGAGAGGGAAGAATCTACGGCTTCCGAGTGATCTGAGGCTTACACGTGTCTAAACAAATGATAACGGAAATGACGTGGCGGAATCAAAAGCTTCCACGTAGACATCATCTCAACCGTTGGATGAGAACATACTGTAAAATGTAGTGGGGAAAACCCAACTACAAGGCCCATTTATGACCCAATCCAAAAAGAGTGGGCGTTAGGGCTGGACGTTTCGGTTCGGTTCTTCGGAACCGGACCGAACCGAATCGTTAAAACGGTATTTTTTCCGATCCGAAACCGTTGTTATTTTCCGAACGGTACCATTTTTAGAGAACCGAATTTTTCCGGAATCGAACCGAACCAAACCGAACTTTAAAAATCCCGAAAAACCGAATATTTTTAAAGGAAATCTAACATTTTTTTTAATAAAACCCGGAACCGAATCGAACCGATACCGAAACCGAACCGAACCGAATACAATAAAAAACCCGATTGGTACCTATTTTTGTAAAACCGAAAGAACCGAACCGATCTATTCCGTCTCGAACCCGAACCGTTTCCCGAAACGCCCACCCCTATTGCTCTCTAAAATCAAATTAGCAATTTTTTTGGGCTTATTGATTGTCGAGACATTTCATATATTTTTTTAATTATAAAACGGTATGGTTAGAGAATGTTAGAAAATTTATTTTTTCTAAAAGATGCAATGTTTTTACACATAACATTCTAAAATTTAGAATGTCATGAATGCTTGTCTAATAATCAATGTTTTAAACTCCCATCACGTAATATTTGATTAAAATCCTCATTTGTTTTTTTACAAATAACAGTCAAATATAAAATTTTCCGTGTGCTTGTATATTTTCCATGTTTTGCTTCATTTTTTCCACAGAATCAATTAAATTATAACGAAATATTTTTTATATCTGTTGTATATAATACAACGGGCTTAACAATTTTAGCAACATATAATCATATATAATTATTTTTGACACTTCACCTGCTCACCATACTTTCTTCTCTTTATCATGAATTTATGAAAAAAAAGTAGAACGTAATAAAGATTTGAATAAAATTGAATATTTGATATTTAAACAATTAGAAAATGATACGAATCGGAAATTCTCTACTGAACTCGAAGGATAATCGACGGAAATTCTAAGAACTATTTAACAACACGTGAATTGAATCAAAAGTAGTTTTAATAGAAGAAGACAATGTAAATCCAATTCAAATTTGACTAAGAAATGTTAGAATATGAGATTTTTTTTTTAATAAAGACGATATAGGGGTGACTGGTTGCAACGCCACCAACCGTAAACAGAGCGGTTGCGATTTCTGACGGTTGGTGGCGGTTACAAAACTGATTGGTCAAACCGCAACCAAACGCTACCGCAACCAAACTTCAAAAATCAAAACGCTGCCTTTTGGATGCGTTTCGGTAGCGTTTCCATGCGTTTAAATCAAATGACCAAAATACCCTTATATAACAAATTTTTTAAAAAAAACTAAGGCCTTGAATGGTGGGAGTTTTTGGAGTTTTTAGAATCCAAAAACCAAAAAAAACAACATTCAAGTTTTTACAAAATTACTTTTCCTAAAAACTTGGAAAGCCATTTTAGTGAAAAAATCAATGAAAAACCAAAAGCTACTTTTTTTGAGTTTTCAAATATTATAAAATCCAAAAGCCAAAAATCAAAAACTAAAAACTAAAAACCAAAAACTAAACCTAAAAACCCAAAATAAAAGCCACTACCATTCAAAGTCTAAAACTCTCTTCATGATCTCTCGCTTGAAACCCCCGTCTTCATCTCATCAAACCCTCTCTTATGTGTTCTTCGATTAAGGTTTTTCTTCGTCGGAGCTCATCGGAACTCACTGGAACTCATCATCTCTGTCGTCTTCAGGTGTGTCTCTGTTTTATTTTATTACCTTTCCTCTTTTCTAGTTTCTTCGGATTTTGTGTGAATCAAAACGCTGCTAATCATCTTCGATTCAAGAACAAAGAACTGACGAGATTCTATCAATATCCAAAACAAACAAGTAATGGGTTCTGTTTTTTTTCTTCATCAGTGGAGGGAAGAATCTACGGCTTCCGAGGGATCTGAGGCTTACACGTGTCTAAACAAATGATAACGGAAATGACGTGGCGGAATCAAAAGCTTCCACGTAGACATCATCTCAACCGTTGGATGAGAACATACTGTAAAATGTAGTGGGGAAAACCCAACTACAAGGCCCATTTATGACCCAATCCAAAAAGAGTGGGCGTTAGGGCTGGACGTTTCGGTTCGGTTCTTCGGAACCGGACCGAACCGAATCGTTAAAACGGTATTTTTTCCGATCCGAAACCGTTGTTATTTTCCGAACGGTACCATTTTTAGAGAACCGAATTTTTCCGGAATCGAACCGAACCAAACCGAACTTTAAAAATCCCGAAAAACCGAATATTTTTAAAGGAAATCTAACATTTTTTTTAATAAAACCCGGAACCGAATCGAACCGATACCGAAACCGAACCGAACCGAATACAATAAAAAACCCGATTGGTACCTATTTTTGTAAAACCGAAAGAACCGAACCGATCTATTCCGTCTCGAACCCGAACCGTTTCCCGAAACGCCCACCCCTAGTTGGCGTAACTAAACCATTTATTGGCCTGGTTCAATATTTTCACCAAATTTATAAACTTTGTATGCAAAAAATAATTTTTTTATTTTTTTTTAAATAAGTTAAATATAGTGATTTCGAAAATTTTATTGTTAAAAACATTGATTATAAAATGAAAATACAAAATATTAATTTGATTTTATTGGATAGTACATAAAATTAATACTAAATTGTATTAAATTTGTATGTATCTAAATAATTAAAATTATGTTAGTTATACTAATTACACAACCTAATAATTAATTAGGTCCGTTTCTCTCTCTCTCTATATATATATATAGAGAGATATTCATCTATAAATATACATGTAGCAAATATTTATTTATTCATTATATATGTTTTTGTGATGTAACTTTTGTATATATAATAATTTATGAAAGAGGATAATGGTGAGAAAATAAATGAATGGTGTGTAATGAAATGGAGGATGAAAGCTTTTGCAAATTGCAATATTTTCAGTGTACGAGATCCGATGCAATGGCTGACCTAATTTTTATATTTTATAACAATTTCATTAATACACGTGTAATATTCTATCGCAATTACAACTTCAAATAAAAACTATATTTATCTATAGTTATGCCGTGACGCGTGGATGGGGATATGGGTTTCTACAAGCTTCTCTATTGTATTTAGACCATGTTCATCGTTACAGAAAATCATATTATATATATGTATATGTGTATGTGTGTATTAATTAATTTCAACAAAGCTATACAGATTTCCAACGTGGAATAAACTATGTCCGATGTTCAAGAACGGACCGATGGTAAATCACGTTCCAGAAGACTGTAGATGATGTCCATTAAATATTTTGATTATAATAAATTTTTCTCTACAAAAAAAAATGCCCACTTCATATCATTTTTGCAACTGTTGAAACTTTAAATTCTCCATGGTTCCAAAAGTGATTTGGAAAATGAACATTAATTAGTATGTATTTCGATATTCTGATATTGATAATGAGAAAATAAACATTGATTAGTATGGAAAATCATACTAATCATATTGATATTGAGAATAGAGAGAGAGGTCTAAAAAACATGGGGAGTACCTTGACAAAAAAAATGTATACGTTTTTTAAAATTTTAATAAAAATATTTTTTGTTTGTAATTTGAAAAATCCTTTTTAACATTTTGTATTTTGTTTTAGATTTTAACTTAGAAATTTATTTCCAAGGTATTTTGGTATTAACTATTAAGTTTACAAATATTAATTTTCGTAATGGAGATAACTGGTTATAAAAATCATCTTGAAAGATCACAGAAATTGCTTGGGAGCGTTAGAAGGCGCTAGAAAAAGACCCTCGGGGTTGGAGTAAATCACTCAAATGCCACACCCATGGAACCTTCTGGAGTCCGAATCCAACCGAAAAAATATCTCCACCGCTCATTCGCATCTCTCTGGTCAAAAATCAAAATCTAATATTACTCGGTGTTTTCATTGGTGTGATAAATGCATTTATTACACCAATTTTTATTTGATGATATTATAATTTATTTTTTTTATTTGCAGGACAATCGGAAAAAAAAATGCAAATGAAAGCAGACATAGTTGATCCTACTTTTGATATTTGACCCACACAAAAAAAAAATTAATTTGAGATAAAACATTGGTAATGAGCAAATATATGTAAGTTCAGTCGAATATTTTATTTATAAGCTGTTTACAATAACTTGTGTATATACATATGGACATGAAAGTTTTAATCACATGGCATTTTTGGACTTTGGAATATTTGAACCATTCGTCCATACTGCATACATGCAAAAGATTATATTTATTTAATTAATATTTTTATTGCGCAAGGAACAAAATAAAAATAAATAAATAAAAAAGGAAATAATATTAGGACAAAAAAGATCTCACAAGTAGTGATTCTGGAGAGTTCCAAGGCTTTGCGTCCGGAGGCGAGAGAGGAGAAAAGCTCTGTTTTTTCTCTCCTCTTCTCTCTCCGGTTTTCATCTAAGCTCCTCTTCTCTTCTACGTCACCGATCGAAACCCTAAGTTTCCCTAGTCTTCCCTTCGAGAATGCAGTTTTGATTGTTCTTTTCTACGTCACCTATCGAAACCCTAAGTTTCCGTAATCTACCCCTCGAGAATGTAGTTTTTTGTTTTTGTTTTTTTTCTTTCAAAATCATTCGAATCTCCTTGGTATCATACGCGCATATACTCCGCTGGCGTATTTGTGTAAGGATATTGATTTGCATCTGCGTTTCTGTTTCTTGGTGTTTGGTATTTGTTTGTGAAATTCGTCGAAAATAAAGAAAAATCATCGAAGCTTCGGAATTATCTGTCTGTTTTGCTTCGTGGGTTTGTGTCGGAGGAAGAAGAAGAGATGTCGGGGAACGGTGGCGAGAAAAACAACGACAATCTGTATGCTGTTTTGGGTTTGAAGAAGGAATGTACGGTGACAGAGCTCCGTAGCGCTTATAAGAAGCTCGCTCTAGTGAGTTTTTATTCTTCTTCCTTTTTTTTTCCAATTTCAATGCCTGTTTTTTGATCTTTTGTGTCTCTGTGTCTGATTCCTGAGATAGAAGTACAGGACTTAGGTTTTGTTACTTGAACTGGGCATTGGTTGTCAGAGGAGATTTCACGTAAAAGTGTGGAGTTTTGATCTCTTTGGGTCCAATATCTGATTTGTACTGGAGGGTGTCGGGATCAAGTATGTGAAAAGTCATAGCATTCGGAGTTTCATGCGATCATGCAAACTGTAAATTTTCCGGGAAAACAGCCTGGAGGAAAAGTTTCCTGGGGAAAATGGGTCATGTTTGGTCATGGAGCTCTTTCTCATAAGGAAACTTTAAGCTGATGCATCATGCACTTGGGAATTTTTCCAGGGAAAAATAATGTTTTGGACTGAAATTTTCTTGGGAAATCTTAAATTTTTGTTGGTTGGAGTAGAGATGGCATCCAGATCGCTGTTCGTCCTCGGGGAATACGGAGTATGTGGAAGAAGCAAAGAAGAAATTTCAGGCAATTCAACAGGCCTATTCTGGTAATCTCACTTGTTCCTCTCTCTTGTCATTTTTAATTATTATTTCAAGAAACAATTGGAAATTGATTATTGGATCCACAAGATATTGTTTTCCCCTGTTCCTTGATATTAAATTAATATATTGTTACTGTTTCTGATTAACTTTTTGTGGGCACAGTTCTGTCTGATTCGAACAAGAGGTTCCTGTACGACGTTGGAGCTTATGATAGTGATGATGATGACCAGAACGTAAATCTCTCTCTTTTTTTTTCTTGCTTCTTCCACAAAATTTCTCCCTTTTGTACACTCTTCTTGACCCTTCAAAATCTTGGATTTATCCCGGTAACACTAGAACAACAGTCCCGGGACTTGCTTCGAATCCAAAACGGCTCATTGTCCCGGCAAAAACATGTCTGAAAGATAGATGTAGCGAAATCTTTTCCCTGCTTGGTCAATGTGTTTCAAAGGGAAATGCTCTTATCTTTTGCTTTCTTTGCTCACTGAGACCAGATTCGATGATTTCTTGAGCAGGTTATTTACAGATCTTCTCGTTGTGCAGGGAATGGGCGATTTCTTGAGCGAAATGGCGACTATGATGAGCAAATCTAAGCCTAATGTAAGCGATTGTTTTCTAATTTCTACCATAGAATTGTTATTTGTTTGGATCAGCATAGATGAACGTTCAAGTGAACATAATCTCACCCTTCATGTCATGTTCATCAAATAATTGGTTCGGGTAGCGGTTACAGGCTTGTGATAATCTTTCCCGCGGTAAAGACATCGTTCCTTGGGAAGTTGTTTATGTATGGATTCAATGGTTACATGTTCTTGTCTTGAATTAGGATCAATCTTGCGTCTTAGACAGGAGAATGCTACGGAATTGTGTAAGTGACAGGATTCCGGGTTCTTTTTTGACAGGGGAATGCAGAGGAGAGCTTTGAACAGCTACAAGAGCTGTTTCACGAAATGTTCAACGCAGATACTGAGGCGTTCAGGTCGTCTTCTTCACGTTCTACCTCGACTTTTAATACTTCTTGTAGTGTTAGCTTTGACCCGAAAGACCAGCATTCGTCTGAAACAAGTTCAGAGAGAACGAGTTTGGACGATCACTTTGGATTTGAGGCCCGTCCTCACAGCTTCTTCTCCTTGGGAGTAAGTCTCTTTCTTACGCCTTTTCTCATATCTCGAGGGGATTATCATAAGCTTACTGTTAGGCTAGTCCAAGAATCCGTGCAACCCATCTACCGAATTCTCTGTCATGTTCTTGAGTTCTTACCTGAAAGTTTGAGTTGTTGGTTACTGATTCTTGGTTTCTTTCAACGCGCGCGAATTCGACGGAACAGGTGGAACACCAGCAAGATTTCAAGAAAGGAAAGGCGGTAAAAGGCGGCGGCGATGGCCGGAGAAACAGGAGGAAGCATAAGGTTTCGTCCTCGGGGCACGATGTTTCGTCATCGTCCTCAAACAACTACGGAGTCCCCACTTCGTAAAAACGTGACGAGCACTCTGTTCCGCTTGCTCGAACCTAACCGTTGAAAGGGGATGAACAAGGGCGGTTGTGTCTGAATCCGACGGTGGCCTTGTTTCGTTCATCCGGTGGTGGATTCGACTTCAGGCTTTAGGGTTAGCTCTCTGGTTCTTTTGGATCTCTTTGAATTTGTCAGCAGAATTTGTCGTCTTATAACGTGTTACACTATTGAAGTGTTCGTTAAGAAGAGATTCTGATATAATATTCCTTCAAGCGTATGGGGGTTTTTTGGTAAATTCATATGCTTATCCTCTTTCCGGCGACGGAATTGTTTCTCTTTCTTCGAATACTGACCCCATCCCGATTCAGATCTAGAGTCTAATCTGGCCTTCTGCAAAAAAATGCCATTCATGAATGTTGTGGATCAGCCCCGGTCGAGGTCCGCCTCGCCATTCTCTCCGATCACTCGTGTGTTTGCTAGCTACGAACGCGGCTTCCTCTTCCCGAGACGTAGGCCCGAGCTTTATGCTCGGTGCTGAACTCGTATCTCGACTGTGTCCTCTGTTTTCTTTTTCCGTTCAAACACACGAGTGATCGGAGAGAATGGCGAGGCGGACCTCGACCGGGGCTGATCCACAACAAGTGGTAGGTTCCCGAAGTCTCCAGGCGAAGTGGAAGCTTTCAAAGCTTCTGGGCGAAACAGAAGGTTCGAGGGGGCAAATGGGTCATTTGTTAAGGTCATTAATCTGACCTAGGTTTTGTGTTGTTCCCTATCTCGCATTTTTCCGGTTCTGGTTCTTTCTCTCTCTGACGGAGGCGATTTTCGCTTCTCCGTGTTCGGGACCGCCGTTCGGCGGTTTTCGGCGGTGTTTCCTGTTGTAAACCCTAGCAAAAGACGCGGCTTCCTCTTCCCGAGACGTAGGCCCGAGCTTTATGCTCGGTGCTGAACTCGTATCTCGACTGTGTCCTCTGTTTTCTTTTTCCGTTCAAACACACGAGTGATCGGAGAGAATGGCGAGGCGGACCTCGACCGGGGCTGATCCACAACATTCATGAATGGCATTTTTTTGCAGAAGGCCAGATTAGACTCTAGATCTGAATCGGGATGGGGTCAGTATTCGAAGAAAGAGAAACAATTCCGTCGCCGGAAAGAGGATAAGCATATGAATTTACCAAAAAACCCCCATACGCTTGAAGGAATATTATATCAGAATCTCTTCTTAACGAACACTTCAATAGTGTAACACGTTATAAGACGACAAATTCTGCTGACAAATTCAAAGAGATCCAAAAGAACCAGAGAGCTAACCCTAAAGCCTGAAGTCGAATCCACCACCGGATGAACGAAACAAGGCCACCGTCGGATTCAGACACAACCGCCCTTGTTCATCCCCTTTCAACGGTTAGGTTCGAGCAAGCGGAACAGAGTGCTCGTCACGTTTTTACGAAGTGGGGACTCCGTAGTTGTTTGAGGACGATGACGAAACATCGTGCCCCGAGGACGAAACCTTATGCTTCCTCCTGTTTCTCCGGCCATCGCCGCCGCCTTTTACCGCCTTTCCTTTCTTGAAATCTTGCTGGTGTTCCACCTGTTCCGTCGAATTCGCGCGCGTTGAAAGAAACCAAGAATCAGTAACCAACAACTCAAACTTTCAGGTAAGAACTCAAGAACATGACAGAGAATTTGGTAGATGGGTTGCACGGATTCTGGGACTAGCCTAACAGTAAGCTTATGATAATCCCCTCGAGATATGAGAATAACAAGAGTCTAAAACCGACCCTACCCGGAAGAGACTTAACCGACCCTAGAAGTGATGCAACATGACACGAGGGATGAGACCGAACCCTAGAGGACTTAACCCTAGGTATGTTTCTACCTAGACAGACCTAATGATCTCTAAAATCAGCCTATAAGACCTACCCTAGGTATATTTCTACCTAGCCGTGCTTGACACGCTCTAACCCTAGTCTATCGGTCCTAATCCTAGGTACGTCTCTACCTAATCAGACCTACAAGACCTAGAGAATACGACCTGACCGGACTTAACCTAGACATTCAGCCTAACCCGATCTAACGGACTTTAAACCAAGTCTAACCGGACATCTCCCTAGGTACATCTTACCTAAACGGATCTAACACACTCTAGACCAAGACCTGATTGGACTTAACACAAGGTATATTTCTACCTAACCGACCTCCTAGACTCTCGCACAAACCTGATTGGACTTACCCTAGGCATAATTTTGCCTAACCGACCTATTAGACTC